AATTAATCTAAACAAAATCACCATAGTGAAGGAAAGAATTTTATTTGCTATAGAAAAATTGTAGTTTTGATACCTTACAAAGGTAACTTGTTTAAAAAGATTGTCCGGATAGAACTTTGTACCACCTCGACGAAAGAAAAAACAATGAGTTACTGAGATATTCTTATACACAAAAAGAAAACACTTGAAACTGAATGAACAAAATATTCAAACATGGAAAGCACATCATGAGGGATAATCTATCGTTTTTGGCCAAGTGAGGAATGATATCTTGAGTACCAAGAGAGAGAAGAAAGTAGTTCAACATTATTTTATGATACATGTTGGGTTAGCCTTGTATTTCACTTTATTTATAAAATCGACTATTGATATGGTTACAACCCTGCCAATATCACCCCTAATATTAGGTGTCCATCTAATTTAACTTAAATTTCTTCTTCAATCTTGGATATACATAATGCTTCAGTTTAAGTTTTACCACACAAAAAAATTACGAGTCTAAATGGGTTTTATAAATAGATGATAAAACTGCAACTCAGTAGAATCGAAGACAATGAAAATTGAATATTATTTACCATAAACTGACATGCAAATTTAAATGCAAGAAGGCATATTAAGAGAATTCGCTTCACCGTGTTCAGCAAGGAAATAAATAGCAACGAAAACAAATTACAGGCAAAATCTATACGATATGTTACAAACCATGATATAAATTATTGCATCAAAGTTGTATCTTAAAAGAAAATTCAAACTTCTATATGAACCCAATGTATGATTTTTGTATATACCTTGGTGGATTCATTCCCTGGATGAGTTTCTCATACTCATCATCCATGTTATGTGAAAAGCTCATTCTAACTTCTGCAACAAGTCACCGAAAAAAAAAATAATAGACATAAAATTACACAAAAGGTTGAGAGAACAAAAAGGAATAAACTGGTATAGGATTTGGATGAATGATGTTAATTTGTTTATATAAGTGATTTGGCTGTGTACCAGAAGCTTCTTAAGCTCAAGTTACAAATTTTATGCACATTATAGATATCTAGATTATGGAGAGTGATATCTAGATTACCAGAAGCTTCTTAACCTTGTAATTTTTGCAAGCTGGACATGTCCATTGTGAACAACGATATAATTTTTTTTTCCTAAGGCATTGAAAAAAGTATATTGGAACTTGTAATCAGATAAAACTGTAATTATATGATAGAAAACCATACATTACAAAGATTGAAAAAAAAAGAAGAAGCTGAACACAATTAGTCTTGAAAAAGACTTATTAGTCAAGAATGGTTAATAACTGAAAATACAAATCACCGATGGAATAATGAGGAAACATAAGAGCAGCCAAACTCGTATAGCATTAGGGTGAACTATGGTAATTTGTTGATATAAGTGATCTACATCATTATAAATGTTGGTTTTTCAACAGAGAAAAAGATTTATTTTGCTTTTTCCAAATGGAGTCTATGTTAAATGAAGTATCATTGGTCGTTAAATTGTTGATATTATACGGTGAATAAGCTGGAATAATTAGTTTGGACAACTAACTGGAAATGTGCTTAAAAAATGTATTGAATACACTGAAACAAATTCTGATTGAGAAATTTATAAAATGTACTAACTAATTGAAACAAATGATATGCATCATATTTCTATTATACTGTTGTTTTCCTGTTTATGTAACTCAGATTAACATGTGGTAGATAAGTTAAAAAATGTAAGTAACCACATTGTGTAAGAGCATTTTCTTTTGTGTTGGATATAAAATTGAAAACAGTGCATTAATTTAATAAAAAACAACAGATACAGCAGTATTGTACTATGTGTTTTTTGAGTAAGAATTTTTGTTTTCATGTGTGGAGGATTTTGGTACACAATGGGAAGACTTTCTATGTCAACTTTACTGAACACAAAGTATTTAACCAAGAACTAATCTGTATTTGTGGAGGCATGTCCACATATATAACTGTAGTAAAAAAATGAAGATCTATTTATACCGAACTTGATGAAATATGGTAATAAGCTGACCTTTGGAGGACATGTAGTTGTTTAATACTGGTGTAACCTTGTGCCAAAAATTGAAACAGAAGGGAAAAAGTGAGAAGAAAAGTGGAGAGCAGGCGTCGCACTGGTCATAATCTTACTGTAATACCGTAATTTCACTGTACAAAGCTGGCCACAAAGGAGGAAAGCAAGGATAAACTGAGGGGCAAAACGGTCATCACACTGGTCATCCACACTAACCAAGTCGGTTGAGTTTTGGTATATATGATATGTTGCAAAAAAATTTGGATGCACAAAACACAGAAAAATGAATGTATGGAAAAGAAGAAGAATTCCAAAAAAATATTCAACCCCCCCCCCCGAATCGAGATCCTTTTCGGATCTCTATGTTCAGAGCCAATGAATTTAGAGATTCAGACCACTTATTTTAATTCTTAAGGACTCTATTAAGCTCATCTCACTAGCCCACCTCATACAAATTAAGGGTTCAAATTTCTCTCCTCCTCTTTTGAACGGTTTAAGTTTTTAGGTCCGTCTGACTACGACATATGAAAAGGATGTGAATTCTAAATCCGCAAGTATGGTCAGAACACACTCGGATTGCTTTTTCACTTTAGACTTCAAATCACGACTGAAGACCCTCACTTTTGTCCCCCTCCTTTGTTCTCGTATCCCAAACATTTAAACATCCCCAAGGAAAGCACCCCTTTTCCTTCCTTTGCTAACTTGTGTCTCAAATATTCCCTCCCTTTGTCCATTGAAGTTTGAAGTCACACATAATAAAACACAATATATACAGATAAGTTTACTCGACGAGAAACAAAAGCTTGTAAACGTTCATTGTCACGTGCTACTTGCATGATACAGAAAATGCGAGACACTCATCTTATGCATCACAGATACAAAAGATATCTCCTATGATGCTCCTAACTCGCGATGCCGTGTAGTTTAGTAATTCAATTCTTTTTCTTCAATGTATAGAAGTAGAAAAACGCTCCAAACTAATGATCTATTGGTTGAGGGTTTGGGCCAGTTGATTTAGGTCAAAATAAAATGACCCAAAAGGCAAACAAACAAGAATGCCCACATTCCCCAAACAAGAAACAAAGCCCATATTACACCCGCGTCTTCCAGACTTGATATTGGACATTGTATATGATGTCATCTACTGTTGCTTTAAAAAGATTAGAATTGTAAACCCTTCCTAAGGTTTTAAACTGAAACCATTTCAAAATTGCAAAAACAAATCGTTCGATGCTGTTTGATTTGGTTTGTATTTCAATTTTGGTTTTTGGTTTCAATTATCCACCCTTATATATATCTAGAGAATTAGAATGGGATACAACAAAACCATCACAATCATCAAGAGAAAAGCAACCAAACCCTTTTCGAAGCACAACTTTCGCACCAACGAACAATTCTCTCCATTCTTCATGATTTATCCGACGGAGTAAGTTTGTTTCAGCATTAAAATATGAGAGAGCTCTAGTATGCTTATGATTTTTCCTTCATGCTCAAACCAAGCATATTTCATGCACCATGGCATATCATTTATAGGTCGACGAGAATCCCATCAAGAACAGCTTGCCGCCAACTCTTGCATACCACACCGAACCGAAAACGACCACGAAAAGAGAGACGTTGAGCTTCTAGGAATTAAGATTTCAATGCAAAGATGAGACCACATGGATGATCTAGGTCTTGCCATTACGCATGTGTTCACAGTGTTATCGATGCATATATACAGGGCTTCCAAGCTATGGCCGTATAATCCTCTTATTCTTATATGCGAAGTAAATAAACGTAGGAATTAATCACGTTAAAGTATGTAAGATAACCACATATGATAAGGTTGTAGGTATATAATATTGAGAATCAATCATACGTTGATGGGAGGAGAAACCTTGCATGGACTTATAAGTAAGTTGGGTTACTCCCTATATTGCAATTGGTTTTATGGTGGAACCTCAACTTTCTTTATGGTATCAGAGCAAGTTATCTCACGTATGAAGCCAAACGACCATACGCGCTCCACGTGGGCTTATAAATAAGTTGGGCTACTCACTATATTACCAAGTAGTTTTATGGTGGAACCTCAACTTTCTTCATATAATAGAGATATTAGGTGATACACCACGTATCACTATACAACTTGTGAGATATGTGTGTTAAAAAGTTAATAACTTAAAAAATAAAATTTCTCATCATTTATATAAAAACAAGTGGTGTACCACCCATGTTCCCGTCACAATAAAAAATTTCTCCATATAATACATGAACATAGAGAACTATTGGTGAGAGCCACAAGGAAACTCCAATTGCAAACACAACGTTCGATTTCGCAAGGTTTCAATGTTCCCCTCCTTTGCTCTCGTACATTTAGACTTCCCAAGCACTTCTTTTCTTCTTATGCTAACTTGTGTCTCAAATATTCTCTCCCTTTGTTATGAACTTTGAATCTTCACACGGATAAACAAATACAAACACAATACACATTAGGAAGTCTACGAGGCAAGACAAAAATTCATGTCAAGTTAAATGGATATCTCATTCATAGTTATGTGTTGGTCACATAGCAAATGCGAAATATTCGTTTCACGCACCACTTGTATGAATTATCTCCCATGAGATAATTCAGGTAATAAAACTACTACATTTTTTTCTTCAATAGGTTTCAACAATGCTGCAAAATAGAAGTAGAAGGAGGCTCCAAACTAAATTATTTATTAATAGAGGATTTGGACAACTGATCTAAGTCAAAATAAAATGACTTCAAAAAGAAAAATAGCGAGAGAAATCTTCTTTATACAAATGAGAATTGTTAGAATATCGCTTGTCGCAAATAAAATAAAACACTAAAGTTAAACCTTCATTTGTAATACGCAATCAAATCTGAAACTTGAATGGTTGATCTTAGCAAATTAACATATTTTCCTATTATTTGGGAGAAAACTCGAATTTGGAGGATTAACGCAATCAAATCTGAAACTTGAATGGTTGATCTTAGCAAATTAACATATTTTCCTATTATTTGGGAGATAACTCGAATTTGGAGGATTAACACTTTTAAGTAGGATTAAGTGAATCTATGAATGTTCAGATGTCAAAATTTGAGAGATGTGGCAGAGGCCACACACAAAATTGATACGAAGTCCAATTCAACCCCATTAGAATGGACGAGAAGAGAATGAGATAAAATAACTCAAGATTTACAAAGTAGGAAACAAATTGTAACAAATTGAGTTTTAGGTGGTTAAAGTGAGATTAAGTGACAATTTCAAGGGCATTTCATGAAAATAAGAAAAGAAAAGAAAAGATTAACTCTCTCCGTCAAAGCGCGCACCTTTCTCCTCTGTCTCTCTCAAACTCAGTCTGAGCAGCCATGGCGAAGCTTGCAGTCATGGTGAAGACGAGAAATTGAGGAAGCAGATCACTAGCCTGGCGTCAATTTCGGTACCCTTTTCATTAATCTGTCAATTCCTTTGGCTTTAAATGTTTGATTAATTTGATCAACGTAATCAGGTTCTTGTGATTAAGTGAGTGAGTAATCCGTCTTTTTGATGGGTTTATTATTTCGTGTCTGCATTCCTCTTCCGAATAAGTTTTTGACTGTTGGGTTTGCCAATTTTATGAATTTGTGTATAAATTAAGGAATGCATTTAAATTTGTTGAATGGTTTGAAGTTGGTTTTGTTGGAATTGACTGACTGGTATCAGTTTTAGTCTTTTGAATTTCCGTTTCGAATGTATTTGGTTATCGTGTACTGACCAATTTGTTTTCGGAAAATAGTTTTATTTTTTCAATTCCTAGCTCCTCAGTTTTTTTAATTGTGATTGTGTTTCTTGCTGCTTGTGATTGGCTATAGGGTTGAGTAGTTCATGCTTTTCGGAAACTGACGAGGTTTTAGATGGGGGATTCTGAGGTCAATGTGAAGGCTCAGAAGACAGTTTTTGTAACTGTTGGAACTACTAGTTTTGATGCTCTTGTTAGAGCGGTGGATACACATGAGGTTAAAGAAGAGTTGTCGAAAAGAGGGTATACTCGGATTCTAATTCAAATGGGGCGTGGATCCTATATTCCAACAAAGGTATTTTTGATTTTTCGGGTTGCACGAATTATGTGATTTGTAGTTGTTCTTCACAATCTAATTTAAGGTAACAAACTTTAAGGGGTGAAAAGTGGATGTTCGAAGAATGCATTGCCCCGTTTGCTATTTTAGATTTCGGTTCAAGTTGCTCCACCTCAATAAAGGCATGGAAAGTTGTAGTGTTGATATTCAATTCCTATGTGGATAGAGGTTAAAAATTTGTCTGTGCTTCAAGGAATTTAGAACTTTCCCGAAGACGAAGAAATTAATCTTCTAATAAGCTATTGGAAACTCAGCAAGATAACTGTTATTTGTTATTTAGAACATATGCGTTGGTCATAGTCTATCCATGCTTTTTTCGTTTTCTTTGTTTCCCCGTCAACATTTTTTATGATGCAGGCTGAAGGAGGAGATGAGCCCCTTGCTGTTGACTACTTCACTTTTTCTTCAAGCATTGCAGACCACCTGAGAGCCGCATCTCTTGTGATCAGTCATGCAGGTATTATTCTGATAGCGTCTTCTTATCCTTCTGCATTTTTTACCATTTGGTTGATAAAAGACTTGCAGGTGTTCTGATGTATATCTAAAAAGCACGTAGTTTCAGCTAAAAGACTTGCAGCGGTAATTTGTCATGTTAGAATCTTAGACATTGCAAGGAAGCAAATGTGAAAGAGATCCTCATGAGGACTCGGTAACTATTATGTATTAGTTTCATCTCTTTTCCTATCATAAATGTGACACTCATCTAGAGTTTGTAATTTTAGTTTAGTGCTTTTGATAGTTTTTGAATTCATCAATTTTCGAAGAATTTTTTGTCAAAATTGTATAATGTAAAAGTACAGACGAGGCGTAAAAATTATAGTTGATTGTGAGCCATTTATTTACTTTGATGCTTCGGATATTTTCTTGGCCACGATGTTTCATGTGAATATAATTTACTGTGGCGCAGGGTCAGGGAGCATATTTGAGACATTGAGGCTTGGTAAGCCCTTAATTGTTGTGGTGAATGAAGATCTGATGGATAACCATCAAAGTGAGTTGGCAGAAGAACTAGCAGACAGGAAGCATTTGTACTATGGTCGCCCGCAGACACTTCATCACGTTGTAGCAGATATGAATTTGGATTCCCTCGTTCCTTACCATCCAGGTGATGCGACACCAGTTGCCAAGCTTATCAACAGGTTCCTTGGTTTTGCAGATGAATGACAGAATTGTAAAATGTTACGACTTTTATACTGAATCTGTCGATGATATAGTCTTTTGCATATTATCGATCGAGAAGCATGTTCGGTTGGCTAGGATCTCAAATACTTTTGGGTATCAGTTTGGGAAGACTTAATTTCATTTGCGTAGTTGAGACTCTTTAACATGTTATGCACCAGCTAACTTGTACCAAATGAAAGGACCACACGTTACTCTCACACGAAAAGAGCAATTTATTTCTCTCTTGGTATGAAACTGATCGTTCCTTATAATCCTCGAAGGACTTACCTGTCACGGGATATATTTCTCATGTCTCTGTGACACCCTCACGCAATGCCTCTCCTCCTCCTCACGTGACTTATTTTATGACTTACAGCGTGAGGGTGAGACAGACACAGAATATGTACCCGACAACAGGTAAGTCCTTCAAAGATGATAATGAACTTACTTTTTTAACCCTATAAAACCTAGTTGGAAGGACCTGACGCATGTAATGCGTCTGGGCATTTTGTTTCAACTTATTCTCCTTGTCTTCTGGGTTTGAAGCTGCTATTTTACTGTTTGTTTATTTGTTTTTATGGCAATTGTATTAGGTTGGCACATTTGCCAAGTTCACAACTGGTGAAAAAAGTCATTATCCACATGTCTGTAAGTCATATAAGCATCCAGATAATACGGAATTTTAGGAAGCCGTGGATTTTTATATAATTAGGTAATAATGGTTGGGGATTTTTTATGAATGTTATACTATCCACACTTATTAACTGTTAGATCGAATGAATTGAAGAAAATTAATGAGTAAAAAATAACAAGAGTTTGTGAGAGATAAAAAAAAAAAAAAAATGTGAATAGCAGTACCCTTTTTCAGTATGTTCGGTGATATTTTATACGCGGGTTTTTTTTGTTATTAGATCTTTGATCAAAATCTCAATGGTCAGAAATATCGTTGTATATATTTATACATTGGAACATAAACTAATTGATGGAGCTTTATAATACTATTGAGTGTTTTAATTGTTAAATTTGATTCTCACATTAACCGATGAAGAAAATATTGAATGATTTGAGTGGAGAATCGACACGAAAACCTCCAATACTTTCTGAAAGACAGAGACAATTCCTTTAGAAAATACAAAAGAAGAGACCAAGCAAGTACACAGAACCAGCTATTCACGAGGCAGAGATAGAGAGAGAGAGATAAAGAGGAATCATGTGAAATGACCAAACTTAAGAGAGAGAAAGAGAGATGGCATCCTACTTAAAAGTTAAAAAGGGAAATAAACTCAACCCCCACCTCTACACCATATGCAAACTTACACCTCACCTCTCTCACCCCCACCTCTCTCTCCCCCCCCCCCCCCTTCCCTCCTCTCTCTCTCTCTCTCTCTCTCTCTCTGTCTCTCTCGTGCATTGCTTTGTGCTCTCATGGAAGTTAACACCACCGCTGCTGCATCCGCAGGGCCACTTGACCTCGCCGCAAAAAACGACACTCATAAACACCAACCCTACAGCCACCACCAACACCACCATGGAAACTTTCCTTCAAAAACTGTTCTTATCATCATCATCTCCATCATCTCAGTTTTGGCCCTTCTTGCTATAATCTTCATCGTATTAATGCTTCGACGGCTCGTCAAGTTGAAGAAAACAAATGGCGATATTTACAAAGAGAACACCGGCTTGATCAATACAAGTTGCAGGTCCATTGCTCAAACCGCAGTGGACTTCAATTCTAGCCCAGGTAATTAAACATTACCCCATCTTTTATTTCATTTTTATTTGTACCAACTACCAGGAGAGAAACTTAACTACATACATCAAGATGCCACCATTGCCATATCCCAATTCAATCATGCAATGCCATGTGCAACGCAAGGCAAGGCATAATTCGCTTAGGACAATGCCAAAGTGACATTGCCGTTGTAAGCAAGTTCTTCTCATGTGTTAAGAAAAGTCATTGTGTCTATATCCCAAACCAGTCGCATTATGTTATGTGAGAACGTTAAAATGCATGACAGTGTGTCAGTAACATTTAAATATACTGTTGTAAGGAAGCTGTACTCCTGTAGTAGGAGCTACTCTGTTATTAAACAGATGATTTTGAGCAAGTGCAAGTCCAAGTTCTAATGTTGGTATGTGTGAAATTGGGGCAGATGTGAAGGGTGGTTGTCTCCAAGGAGGGAATTCTGGAAGGTCATTGAGGGCACCTGCAGACAAAGGAGTTCAAGTGTTCTCATACAAAGAACTTGAGGAAGCCACTGATAATTTCAGCGAGGCAAATGTGATAGGGCATGGTGGGTTTGGAGTGGTGTATAAGGGGGTCCTAAGAGATGGGACAGTGGTAGCAATTAAGATGCTGCGCAGGGAAGGCAGGCAAGGGGAGCGTGCCTTCAGGTTTGAGGTGAGTGACTTCATTTATTAGCTTTTTGTTCTGATTTGATCCTTGTATTTCTTTACTTAATTTTCGTTTCTGTCTTGTTTTTTATTCCACTTCTTTTCTGAATACATTTGACTTGAAAATTAATGTCATTTTGTCATTTTTAGACGTGCTCATTTGTTTGTCAACACAAACTCATGTGCATTAGAAGGTACATAGTACATTAACAGGAGGACTTTTTATTTTTTTTTTTATTTTTTTTTTTAACAAATGGTATTATGTATACTAGGGGATGAACTTAGCCTTACAATGGGCTAACATGGTTCAAATTCGCTTTTGGTGAGAATCGAACTTAAGATTTTTCACTTATAAGTAAAGAGGAATACCACTAAACCGTAGTACTAAGTGACATTAATAGGAGGACTTATCTACACCCCTTAGAACGCCACTGTAAAACTCTCGACCACTAACACGATGTCATTTAATTTTTAGTTTCATACATAGGTTGCCATTGCATGATTAGTTTAACACAACACATTTTTAGCATCTCCGTTTCATTTAACTCCTTTTCCATGAATAAGGAAGAGAACTTGCCTGAAATATGGACATTTCTTTATGTCCATCATGTGATGAGATGCAAAAACAAGATGAGTATATCCTGTAGCAAGCAAGTACTCTTCCATTAATAAATCTTTGGCACAAGTGATTTAGGGACAATGAACAAGAAGGATATATATATATATATCCCAGCTCCTCCTCCACTAAAAGATTTTTGGCTCTCTCCCTCTCTCGTACACACATAAAACACACTTGGGAAATCTTAGGGGTTGACTTAAGTAACCCTCCCTCACACAAACATTATGCTTCCTTCAAATGTTTTGATATAGGAGTTTTCTTTATAATATGTGTGCATTATATCTTTTAAACAAAGTTAGACCCTAAATTTCAGGATTCAAAATCATTCTAAACTGTTTTATTCAATTCCTGCACATGGATTTGGGAGAAAATTAAAAACAACAACTGGGTTTGTTTTTTTGCTTTTTTAGTAAGTTCGAAGGATTTCGAACTCTGAGCATACTGTTATCCTCAATGACCACTAGACTAACCCCAATGCCTTTTTATCTTCCTGTGTTCTCCTTATTGTAGGTGGATCTACTAAGCCGGTTGCAATCTCCATACTTGGTGGAGCTACTTGGCTATTGTGCTGACCAGCACCATAGGCTCCTCATATTTGAATGCATGCCCCATGGTACTCTGCAACGCCATCTACATCCTACAAACAATCATCAGCCGTTAGATTGGGGGACCCGATTGAGGATAGCCCTTGATTGTGCTAAGGCCCTTGAGTTCCTCCATGAACATGCAGTCCCATCTGTTATACACCGTGACTTCAAGTGCACCAATGTTCTACTAGATCAAAACTTTCGTGCCAAGGTGTCGGATTTTGGATTGGCCAAGATGGGTTCTGACAAGATCAACGGTCAGATTTCAACGCGTGTGCTAGGGACCACCGGATATCTGGCACCAGAGTGAGTGCTGCATCATCTGTAATGGAGCCCCCCCACTACCATTCAGATACTAACAAACATATAGGCACTGCAATGGAAGCATGCATGCACATGGGTGTATATACACTGTCACTATTATTTTAGCTGTCATTTTTTATCATCTTCAGTACCGTTACTTGGGTAGAGCAAAATGGACTATATAACAAAAGATAAAGTAATTTTTGCACATTCCCTTCTTTTTTTTTTTGTCAACACTAGTTAATTCAAATTGTTGAATTAAATAAAACAAATAAATAAAGATGTGCAAAAAGAGAAAAAATGTGTGCGGAAATCATTTTCTTAAAAGAGAATTCAAATGCCTGTGTACAAGAAGTGCATTGTGTAAGTACTAGTTTCTTAACTTAATAACAGTGATCGATCTTTTATTTTTCATTAAGTTTTTGGACCCTTGATGATATAGGTATGCCTCGACTGGAAGGCTCACTACAAAATCAGACGTATACAGCTACGGCGTGGTTCTTTTAGAGCTCTTAACAGGGCGCGTGCCGGTAGACACAAAACGGCCTCCTGGAGAGCATGTCCTTGTTTCATGGGTACGTCAATTGTAAATTTGTTAACAGATGAGTATGCATGCATGCAAAATGAAACTAAAATGTACTTAAATTTTTTGTACTGTAATTAATCAGGCTCTTCCAAGGTTAACTAACAGAGAGAAAGTATTGGAAATGGTTGATCCAGCTCTTCAGGGGCAGTTCTCAAAGCGGGATCTAATTCAGGTCAGCTTAGCTAGGACGTTCCAATTAATTATATAATCTTCAACAGAAAGTTATGGATTCTTAGAGTTTTAACTAACTCAAAGTTTTCTTTTTATAATTTTTGTTCTTATAGATAGCAGCTATTGCAGCAATGTGTGTGCAGCCGGAAGCTGAATATCGGCCTTTTATGACGGACGTGGTACCGTCTCTAATTCCGCTGGTTAACAGCTCCTCTTATGGTGCTTCCTCTGGTTCGTCTTCATAACCAAATACCAAGTCCAAGGTATTAGGGTTTTCTCCAAATAAAAAGTAAAAAAATTGTATTAGGGTTCATGTGAAAACTGCAAGATGACGTGAACTGTTCAGATATCTTATCAGCCAGTGCTTTGGCAGCTTTTTTTATTTATTTTTTAAATGTTACTCTTATCACCTAGTAGTACCATCATTTGTATCATCTCTCTAATAGAGATGAGACCTACCTGTGTTGGCGGACATTATCTCTATTAGAGAGATGATACAATTAAGTGATGATTGTAACAACATTACTCTGTTTTTTTTTTTTTTTTTTTTTACTGAATACAAGGGTACACATCATTCTTGATCGGCTAGTATTTTAATTAACTTAATATTTCGTGCATGCATATGTATAAATCCAATTAATTTGTGCTGTAATATATGCTTATCCTTTTTACTATATAACTATATGTTGTAATATATTTTGAAACTTCTTATACCAGAAGAAATTCAGAACACTTCGAAAAACTTCAGATTGGAAATTCAGAATCTCTAAGCGGATTCTAATTTTCGTTCTAATTTTTTTAAAATATTCTTACACAGAAATTTTCGAATTCGAAAATTTTAATGTTGATATCGGAAGCATCATTCCAACTTCCACCCTTATGTTGAACCTCTCTTTTTCTAGTGGATGAGATGTGGTGTATTCAATCTGGGTATTGAGTTGTTTTTAGATTGCGACTGACCGATGACCAAGTGTATTCTTAAATATATATAGTTAGGAGTTGCTTGGTATTCCATTTAAAAATACTTTGTAGTTTGAAAAAAATGAAGAATGTTACTAAATTACTGAGTACTTGTCGTCAAAAACAAAAAATTGGATCCAAGAAGGATACCAAACCAGCTCTCAATCATTTAAGAAAGTTACAAACAAACCCTTAACTTCGAAGATGAACGTACAAGAAGAGCATTTCGCGTGTAAATTTGTAATAATTTATTAAACATGGTCCTTTAATGGCTTAACAATAACCCGAATACATTTCTAGAACCGTAAATCAGCCTAAGATGGTGCCATCAGCAGATGGATTTCGGGCAACGAAACTTTGTCGATGAACTACCGGCTGCGAAGAATGCAACAGTTACAGTGAACCTAACCTTGAATTTCTACTCATTCGTTTTCAGATTCAGCTTCCATGGCAGTACTTGTTTCTCCTTGTTTCTCTCCTTGTGAGTTGATGCTCTTTCTATTAACTTTATCAGCATATTTGGAAAAGGCAGCAGACAAGGCCGACTTAACACTCAATTTTCGTTCCTTCTTTCCACGTTTGCTTTCATCTTCTGTTTCCTCTGCTGCTTTATCTTCATCCACTGAACCAGGTTCAGCATTGCTTGGGACAGAGGTTTCTGGAACAGTAGGGCGACTGGCAACCACACGCTTAAATGGTTCATGAAATGTATCATACAAACGTTTCACCTGATAAGCAAGGCAAAAAAGGTACAATTGTTATGCCTCCCATCGTATATTCGTCTGAACATTAAAAAGAAAAAAGGTCGACAGAGAATACCTTACGCTCTCCTATCCCAGGGCAACGAGCTAGATCTTCCATGGAAACATCCATGATATGAGAAAGAGACTGCAAACAGGAGAATGATATTTCAACATTACTAAAAACTAAAAACCACACTATCTGCCAACGAATTCTCAGTGCAAAACTGGAGGCATACCCCGAACGTAGTACCAAGGGTGACAACATCAGTCTTGTTAACATGTCGAACTGTCGTTAACGCGTGATTTAGCTACCCAAAATAGACAAGGTTCAGTTCAATGAATTCAGTGTCATAAATTATACAATCCATACCAGATATTATCGCAAATTAAGCAAATAATTTGATAAGACCCTAATTTCTCTACATGAAGAATATAACTGCTTAGTCGACCTCAACTGTACTAATACCCGCGATAAATAGTCTGTATCCATTTGACCTTGAATAATGTCTGCAGGCTTGTTTTCATAAACTTTTATAGTCTCCAAGTATCGACCACATTCCTCCAAGCTATAAAAGAACATGTTAGAAGCACATATGGGGTCAAAGAAACTAACAAAAACTAAGCTACCGGGAGTAAGCTAAAGCTAAACACCTTTACAAACAGAGACCCTTTTAACCATACTTGATCCCCGTTAAAATAGTTAATCATGTTCTTGAAAAGCTTACGAGAAGAATATCAAATATAACCTTCCAATATCAGAGTCATGGAAAAAAAGACCGTTGCCAAGTTTACATTTTTGGCTTGCAGTTCAAAACAAAATATTTATACCTCCAACCGCATAATAATGTGCATTCATGAAGCAGAGCAGTTTTAGTAACTTCAAGTAAAGGCTTGATTACATCTTCCTGAAAACCAATAGAAATAGTGAGCAAGTCTGCTATTATAAAGGCAGAAAAAGAACTGCTCACTCTGTACGTCCAATGAGTTACGTCAAAGTATAAACTACGATAAAACGAATAAAAAATTACTGATAAAGCTATGAAAGACAATTTTGGCACAATGGCTTACCACATCAACATGGCAAAGGACAACACGAAGCTTAAAGTTCTTTTGCAATTCTCTGATACGGAAATATAGGTAGTCTGGATGCAGCAGATGATACCGAAGACTACAACAATTGGTCAGCATACATATCATATAAATCAAAATCAACTTATAAGTTTCATCGTATTAAAATTAGCATGAGTTAGGCATCATCAACTCGAGTCCAAAAACACCTCAAGCTCAAAAGTTAGGGCAACTACGATATCATTGCTGTGTACTGTTAGTCAATTTCCATCTAGATATTCTATTTTTTCATGAGAAAATAAATGCAACGGTAGCTAGATGAGAAATCATATTGGATAAACTGTCATACTATGTAAGTTTTCACATAACAGTTGTACCATATTTACCACAGCATCCTGGCTATAGATTCACATATATGTAACTTGGTATGACGTACGTGCAAATGTTCAAACCTGAGATAGAGAGCGCATGAGCTTTGCCCAAGTAAGTAGTCACAACCAATATCTGCAAACTCCCACCTCACATTTCTAATATGTTTCAGCAATGGGTTTCCCTTCTGTAAGGAGGAATTAAATTTTACACTCAGTTCACAATAATAGGACTGCGGATTGAAAAATTGCTAAACGATGCAAAGGCTGATCATGAACTTTACTCTGCTTGTGGCAATAATATTTGGAGCTATTCTAGACCCCGTATCATGGTAAGGCTACTAATGTAAAACATGGACTTTCAGATCCAATTTTCAAATTTAAGTACTGAGTAATGGTTGCATCAAATTGGCTAATCATTCACTACACTGACACCCCAAAACTAACAAAAAACCCATCTTATCCTTTTGTTCAGTTACAGCCTTTTTTCTGTCACAAATTTCGTACACACTGACATCAAAATGTATAAACATATGAATAAGGGAATCTTAAGAAGTCTTGCAAAAAAAGGACATCACATATATCGTATACGTAATAAGGTTCGAAAATTGCCAGTGTCAACCACACCATTACTGAAGATACTAAGATCGGCACATTAAAATTTCAAAAATGTGGTCAATGGTTTCCTGATATTCATTAGTTCTACTCATGTTTCACTGTTCAGCCAAAGTATGCCAACTTTCAAATTGTAAGGAAGAAGTACCATTATCTTAAACAGTTAAATTTGAAAAGATGCAATGCATTGTCTAAAACTCTAAGAAAAACACACCAAGTACCATTGGATGAAGAGTACTAGACCTGTCTGTGGCTCACAAGAATTGCATTGCGACGCTGAACAGATGAAGATGATGCAACTGCATTCGCAGGTGCAGATGATGAAGACGGAACATCAGATTGGCCAGTTTGCCTAAACCAAAAAACAAAGAACGAAAGCATCTCAGCTTCGGATAACCAGAAAAAGAAAACACAAACCTTAACAAACCACCTAACAGTTCAATCAACTAGAAGCTCTGTCCTTGCTGAGTTCTTATACAACAAAGAGGACTTCTCTCTGAACTTGATTTCCAACATTTTATCAACCTAAGATTTCGAAAGCGAATGCTCACTTGGGTTCTAAGAAAAATGAAAGCTGACAAATCATCGCAAAATCAAACATCATAAAGATTAAATTTTTAAGTAATCAAAAGTTCAAGAAAGTTCTCTAAACTTAGTTTCCAACATTTTATCACCCTAACATTTCGAAAATGCTAAGTTGGGTTGTAACGAAAGTCAATGTTTACAAATTACAGCAAGATCAAATTTTTCAGAAGCCCAAACCTCGAAAAAAATTCTCTTTTATTTCTTCTCACACGCCCATCAGAATAGAAGTGCGAGAATGAATAAACAATTTCCCACCAAAACAAACAATAACCCACATTTCCTAAATCAGAAACTACCATAAATCCAAATAAAAACTCTCCACTAAACAAACACAAAGGTTTGCATTGAAATTGGTGAAAAGGGTACCTCGAATTGGTGGCGTCTGAGGCCTGCGGCGGTTGTGAGGCGGCGGTGGAGGCAGGAGGCGGCGAGTAGAACTCAGAGGACTTGACGAATGCAAATGCTTGAGCAAAACTATGTGAAGGAGTGAAGAGAGAAGGCGGGGTGGATTTAGACTGCGAGCTCTCGAGTACTTCTTGAAAAGATGGTATTTTTATCACTGTTTTCTTCTTGTTTTTGTTCAGGTCTGACTCTGTATTTTGCCCTCCGTCTTCGTCTTCCATGTGTCCCTCTGTTTCTTCTGCTCTTTCGTCGAGTACGCTGATGGTTTTGCGTAGTTGGTGTTGGGTTTCAGGCTTGGGCTTGAAGTGATGATGGGTTGTGGACCATTAAAGCCCATTTCATTGCAAATTTAAAACTCCAAGGTTTAGCAAAATGTAGTTTTTCTCGTATTCTTGTCGTGTTGAACACAAACTGCAATTGTAACGCGTTATTTGTTAACAAACTGGGCTTCTAGAGTCAACTGAAAAAGTGAGTGTGATACTAATAAACGTAATTTATTTGGTGATTAGCAATAGCATGAATTAATAATTGAATTCCAACGTCATGATGTTTAATCTAATAAGTAGTTTTCAACAAAAGAAAATCTAGTGAGTAATTACAAACTACACCAACATAAATATATGATCGTGATTCTTACATCATCTATACTACAAAATTTGATAAAACAAAGATTCTCAAAAATTTTGATTTTTTTTTTAAAATCAATTACAACATGCAGACTGACCGACAAATAAATTCCAAGAGGAGTAGAGGCCAAGAAGGAACAAAATCATCTGAATGGGGAGAATCGCTTTCCAACCAAAACGTATGACAACCCTATTGATAAGCAAATATGATGCTTATTTCCGCATAAAAAAGAGAATACAAAATTAATAATAATTCGATACCAATAATAATTGTTGATGGTGCTGAGGGCGAGCAAGTAAGCAAGACCCTTAAGCTAAATAGATAAGAGAGCATCGGGGGTCAAAGGGAATGCGATTTCACGTGTCAAAGAATATTGTTTCATTAATTTGACAACAAGGTAAGAGAGGAAAAATTGGAAGACAACAAAGTAAACGAGAGCATTTAATTAAGGGAGTTCTAACGTGTCAAATAATATTATTTTTCAGACAATATAATTAAAGAAGTTTTAACAAAACAGTCACGGTATTGTTCATTTTTAACTAAAAATTACATTTTTACCTTTTTCTAGTACTATTCATTACACTTTTATTTGTCGTTTTTTATTAAAACTAAAGTTTTTTTTTTTTTTGAACTTTTCTTTAGCTTTCCTTATAATTAAGCAGTCGGGTTTTAATTTTCAAATGCTTTGACACCAAAAAAGAAAGTTTATATATTCTAAGATTGGAAAGAGGCAGCAATTAGTACCCTAAGTTACAAGATAAGATAACGGAATGAGGAAGGCCCAAAAAGCAATCGGTTGCTTCCATAAACTGCCGAACAATTAGCACCAAAAGGGCGACGAATGCCAAACAAAATGGTCAAAAATTCCACCCTGTTATTATAAAGGGGAACACTCCAAGCTCCGAAGTAACAAATCACATATTATGCAAAAGATCCTTTTTCCTCATTAAGAAATTTTGCAATGTGTTCGGAATACAAGCACATTAACTTTATATTAAACAAGTGGAGGGATACTTTAAAAAAAAACTTCTCACTACTTATATATAACATGTGACGTACCGATCCGTGTTTTATTAAAAAATCTCTCTTCCGTCACCTAAGTATGCAATAATCATCATGTTAGTCTGCATGCTAATCGAAAGTACACATAATGAAATTCTTATGTAAATATTGTTTATGATCACTTACAAATAAAGAAAAACACTACTAAATCTTGGTGTGGACACAACCAAGCGAAAAATGTGTGGCTCTTCTTTTTTTTTTGAAAAGTTTGCATGGTAGCAGATGACCAAGTCATTAGAAGAACAAAGAATTCATTTCTTTTTGGTCCAACAAGATGTCCTTTTGTATTGTTCCCTCCCATTCATTTTGGGTCATCATATTCAATTCAAATATCTGAATACAAGTTTTAACTAATTTTGGTCCTTTTGTATTTTTCCCTCCCAAAAACCTCTTTAATTTGATATTTTCTTCAATTTGTCCTTAGCCCTTTTTTAATTAAAAAAATATTAGAGGAATGAAAATTAAAATCAAGATTTTGTACTGAGTGTGGTATAATATTTATCAACTGAGTTACAAACTCTTTAAAATTTTCGTTTTCCAAATACATTGTACATAATGTCACCCGATAAAGCAAGATCCTTTAATTTGTAAGACCAACTCATTCCATTGACTATATATAATACGAGTGTCAACATTGTCATCTACATGACACCCGGTCTTTTCAAATTTAAAGTTCAAGAAAATTGATAAATAAGGTACAAAAACATTTATAGACATTGAACAAATTGACCCAAGCAGTGGAGGGGAAAAGATAAAAAAAACTTATACAAACCAACTAAAGCTAATTAAACCGGAGGCCGAGCCGAACTGCTCCTAGACATTTCCGGCACGGCCGGTGTCTCACCGTCAATTGCCGCCACTTTCGGCGACGAACGACTTGACATCCTTGTGAGAAATGGTGGCGTTTTGTTGAACACCCACCGGTCCGATCTAAATTGCCGGTCCAACGGCTCGAGCCTTCTGTAGCTCCTCACTCTATTAATACTGCTACTCTCACCGGTTCGGGGCCCACGCCTCGAACTCCCTTCTCGGGGCAAGACCAATAAGCTAGTGGACCGGTTCAGCTTCCGGTTCATAATCTGTTTCCTGACTTCAACCGGTAACCTCAAGGTGAACCGCTCAGTGTCTTCTCCCGGTTGGACCGCAGAGTGTCCGGTCGAGTGTGAGCGCGAGAACAATCTCCGCAGCCTGCTCGATCTCGATCCACGTGTACGGTTCCGATTAAGCGTCTGGTTTATGTTCAACACCTCAGGTTCTTGCTGTGCTAGCATTCCCAGGTCATCTCTCTCCCGTTCCGCGTCTACGGCGTCGTTTTGAGCTTCGACGTCGCCCTCCTGCTGCACCGATCCCAACTCAGTGAGTTGTGGTGCCGAGTCGCCGGGCTGCGGAACGAGGTTGGCCCGGCACACGGGACACGTGGTGTGCGACATCAGCCACACGTCGATGCAGTCAGGGTGGAACACGTGGTCGCATTTGGGGATCAAACGCAGCATTTCGTCGTCCTCGAATTCGTTTAAGCAGACGGCGCACTCGAGCGCCTCTTTCCCTATTTTAAGCCCCTTGATCTCGGCATAGTCAAGTGTGGGGAAGGTGTCGAGGACGGCGGTGTCGAGACCGCGTGAGGCTGCCCCGCGTCGGGATCGGCCGGTGTGGGAGGCGCCGGCGCGGACGCTGTCGGCTTGGTAGGTGTCGGAGCAGCGGCGGACGTAGACTGAGAAGAAAACCATGAGGAAGAGGGCGGCGATCAGTACGGCGATGATGATGGCCAACGGCGGGCTGAACCGCTGGTACTGGTACGGGTCGGACCCGTCCGGACTGGGCTGGGCTCCAACCGGTGATAGGAGGAAGAGGAGGAAGAGAGCGAGGACCGCATGCTTGGCGGCGCAGGATAAGAGCGGAGCCATGGTGTTGTGGTACCGGGGAGGATTGCTGGAAAAGGAGGATATAGAAGGAGAGTGAGAGAGGAAGGGGGAGGAGGTTTATAAATGAAACGAGAGAGAGAGAGAGAGAGGAGAAGTAACGTCGGGGAAGGTGTCTTGTGGAACGAAGGAAGACGAGCAGAAGACAAAGAAGGGAAACGAAGACTATCAAGCCATGGGGACGGGAGTGGGACCCGCAGGCCCGGGACTTTCTCTGGCTTTTCTCGCGATGGAACGGTGGGGGGTTGCGGTGATGTCAGCGGCTGGTCATGGGTGGCGTTCCGCGGCGACTTGCGTTGCTCGGCCTTCCGAATTAGTAAGGAATATGGTAATAAGTTCGCCTATTGGAAATTATTTCAGAATCCAATGGTGGATTATAGATGAGAGAGCTAGTTAAATCTTAACAATAATATGATTCAAATTCGTCTTTATAATAATCAAATATAAGACCTATCACAAGTGAAAAATACTAAAACATATACTAAGTGGCCATGTCAACTAATTAAATAAAAACAATTAGCGATTAGAAAGATTTCCAATTTTTTTTACAAAAAACTGTTCTTAATTTTATAGTAAACAAAAATACATCTATCTAGGACACAAACGCACCAGATTGCACCTCAAACTTGTTCTATATAATTGTCCCTAATTTGACCAGAATAAAAAACAATAACTCTTAACGTTATAAACTAGGATTTTCATTTTTCTGAAATTTCGACGAAATGTTTTTTAATGGCAAAGTTTTTAATTCAACAAACTTGACCTAGTAGTATCTTGACTAGTGAATGGTTATTCTCAAAGAAAAATTATATATCAGAAAAAGTTGAAAATTGGGTTTAATTTTTTATGTATCCAGTGATATTTGTTACCCTAATAATCTAATTTACACTAAAATAATAAAAGAATGGATGTGCTATCCATATACCTCATTTTACCTCTCACACACCCCTTGATAATTTATGTCCGTTGATCTTTTTCAATTCATTCGATCTGACGGCCGAAAATTAAAAAAGTGTGTGAGAAGTAAAATGAGGTGTGTGGATATCACATCTCTAAAAGAAAGTTTAAACGCATAACGTAGTAAGTGAAAAAAAATACTCTATTCGCCAAAACAATCTACTGTTTGCAGACTTCAATTTTTACATACTTTCTGGATTGAATGTCCTTTTCTGAAGCTAGCGTGCTGTTTTTTTGAAGTATTTCTTTGGCTTGTGTTCGTAATTCCTTTGGTTCTGCTAGTGTTTTTTTTTTTTTTTTTTTTCATTCTTTTGTTTCGTTAATTCTCTCTTAATTACCAATAAAAAATAAAAAAAACAGAGAAAATGTTAGACTTGTGGTTCAAACAAATCACAAGAAGTTTAGCAAACATTAGTCTCAGCAGCCCAAAGCATAGTCGCGAGAAAAATGGGTCAACATCACACTACGATCAATAAGGAAACGGAATCTGACGGCTGTCAGAAAGTACTGCACCGAAGAGTTGGAATGTTCGAAGTACCATATAAGCTTCTAGAAGAATCTAGATTCTAGATCTTTTAGTTTAGCTTGCAAAATGGTCAACCCAAATTAAATTGGATGGGTAACCACTAAAAAGTAGCGTGGTCAGAAGGGAACTAGGAAGGGGAGGGAAAGCGTGGGCTTTGAATTTGACTTTCATGTAAATGAACATTTTTCTTCTGGTTAAAATTGAAAGGGACATTGGTTTTACATCATTTTTGTTTTGTTCAAGTGTCTGATCAAAAACTTATTGGGTATCGATTCATATAAGATGTTTTTGTGTTTTGAATGTATTGGGTGAGACGGCACGATTAGCCACTCCAGAATTCGCCTATAATAGTTTTGTTTTGCCAAATTTTTTTCGTACTACATAAGTGTTAATTGAGACGGTGGATCGAACCTAAAATTTCGGGGTGGAGGGGTAAAGATTAATTGAAGTTTAAAATCTCCATAGTTTTGGATATCAACAGCACCAATGACAAGCAAAAATGAGTAAATCTGAAAGTGAAAGGGATGTGACTCATACATTAATTAAGTCTGCAAAATTCATTTGATCTTGATAAGCTTCTAGAAAAAAAATTTGATTATGCAAGTTGCAACCATCAATAATGAACAACTTTGACTGTAATTATGCTCATGATGTTAGAGGTGACGCTTTTAGTTTTAGCTAGTGCATGGACTACTAGAACTGTAATTGATTATTAAACCCTAACCACGTGATTAGCTTAAGTTGACTATACAATGCATTATTTGTGCTACGTGGCTGCAGATAACATGAATATTTTTGCTCATCATCTTTAAGTGATAGTGATGTTCATCATCCTATTTATCGCTGTTTGATGAATTTAAATTTCGAAATTTGTGTAGTGTATAGATATAAATCTCAAAATTTAAATTCATATAAAAATTATAAATAGGGTGGTGAGCAAAAAATACACTAGTTGTAGATAACCCAAACATTTAAGGAAAGGGATCCCCCGAATCATTTCTACCTAATCCTTCTCATTAAACAATCCGTGCTCTTGCAATTTGATCAAACGACTACAAACAAGGGCCCACTCTAAAAGTTATAATAAATTTAGTTGTTGGATCAAATTTTAAGAGCTCTGATTGTTTGATGAGGAGGATTATGTGGAAGGGATTCGGATTGAATCCCTTTCCAACATTTAAGGCTTAATTATGTGCCACGTGATCTACAGTTCCTTGACATGAAATTTCTTATTTTTCTCCAATAGAGACATAGGAATATTATGAAGGTATAATTATTTGAGCAAGAAATTGACTTTGAATTAAATTAATCCCCGAAGGCCACCTAATAGGACCACACTATTAATTCAAGGTCATCGACCAACAAAATTCGTATATCAAGTCTAACATCTCCTCCAAAAGTAAAACCCTATCTTCCAAATTTCCAATATTTCGATTAAATTCTTCATTTCCTTTTGTCACATGAATGGGACATTTCGGATTTCGCAATGTGGATATATTTATACTAACAGGTGAATAAATTAGTTGCAAACTCACAATTATCAAAATTTGAATTTAAAATCTCTCACTTACGAGTAAGAGAAAAATATCACTGCACCATATATATCAAGTGATTTTAATTGGTTCCGCATGAATGTGCGCGATTCGGTTGTGCATTCGATTGCATATATATGTAAGCAAAAAACATATGTATAGGGATGGGCAAAATATCCATGGGTTTGGGTAACCGTGGTTACTCGCCCATTTAAAGTTCGCAGTTACGGTTATGGGTAACCATTTAGACAAACAAACGGTTATGGGATTATCCGTGAAATTTCAATGGGCGGTTATGGGTATTACCTGCGATTATAATAGGTATCCATCGGTTATGGGTATTACCCGCGGTTATAACGGGTATTTATTTACTCATTTAATTTAATATATGTAAAATTAAAAAAAACCCTAAATTTTCAATCTCTCCGCCAGACTCAGAGTCTCAAACGCCCCGTCCCCCGCTCATGTACAGTTGTGGAGTCAGATGCGAGGTACTTATTGTAAAATTTCATATAAATTATGTTTATGTTCAGAAATTTACTATTTTAGCCTAATTTTAATTTTTACTATTGAACTAGATTCAAACTCTACTCCTCGTGTTGAAGATTCCTTATTCGGTGATGATATTGATGTGAATGTGGTAAAAACTAATCTTTATTTTTGTTTTTCACTTTGGAGTTATTGGTGATACTAATTCAATTTATGCATACAGGTGCGAAAAATCATGGAATTTAAACCTTCTATTTATGCATATTGTTGAATGGTGATACTAACTCAATTGATTTGGTACTTCGCTTTTGTTTGCATTTTTTTTTTCTTCCTGAGTGTACAATGCAAATCTTATGTGATCAATTAACTATGTTGAATTCATGCTAATTGATGTCAGTGTTCCTAAATGGGATACTAATTTAAATTATACATTTATTTTGTAAGCCTCTTTTGGTGACAACGAGACTTTGTGATTGAACGTGCTAAAGCATTAGTGTTCGAAAGTGTTTAGTTTCGGAATATTTTCGAGCTTTGAATCATCTAGTATTCAAGATAATGACTACTTTTTGTTTTTAGAAGCTTTACTTTGTAATCATATGGATTAAAATTAAAGACTTGTTTGGGTCTAGCAGAAAAATATCGTTCGTAAACTATTATTTCAATTATTGGCATTGTATGAGGACTTAAATGATTAAAATAGGGAAATGCATGCTAAAATGCACCTATAATGGTGTTTAATTGTCAGAAAACGAAAATTATGACAAAATTTTATTTTGTAATTTTCAAGTTGTTAAAAAAAAAAAATGTAGACGGGTGAAAAAAGGGGGTAAATGGGTAAAAAAAGGATAAACGGGTTCAGAAACGGGTAAATGGTTATGGTTAAATGGGTACACAGGTATGAGTATTGTTAACCATTTATAAACGGTTATAGATATGAGTATAATTGTTTATGCAATTACCCAACTGGTAAACGGTTATGCAGGTATGAACATAAACAGTTATGAGTAAATAACCTTGGTTACCCGCCTGCCATAACCGTTGCCCATCCCTACATGTGTATTTGATTTGAAGAAAACTTGACATGCCAATTTGGGATGTAAACATTCTATTCATGTTTAATATATATCATCCGTTTCTAATCATCTAAATTATGTTTAGGCTGTTTTGGGGCTCAAAGCATTGATAGAGATTTTGTTGGGTTTTTATCTTGTCTCTATGGGTCTGATTACTTCTCGGCCCCTATCCTTTGGGCTTTCATTGCAGAGTCTTATCCGATGCCTGGATGCATCGGCACGACGGCAGCCCAGTCGAGTTAAGTGGATTCCATGGAACTATGGGAGGTCATTTGACACTCGAAGTGTAGTCAGTTGGGGGACCTTGCTAGCTACTGAGTTTAGAAGACTGATCGTAGCGTACTTCCTATTCGATTCTTTGTATCAGACATTGCTAGCGACTAGCGAGCGTCAATGACTGATCCTAAC